TTGCTGTAGAAAACTACTTTTGCTGCTTTGACGGCTGAAGGAAAGGAGCCGCAACTGGTAGCAAGCAAGACTACCAGTTATTTTTTGCATCACGAAAAATGCAGTGATGCAAAGTCCCAGAAATGCCTCAAAATGAAAGTTTATGCCCCAAAACATGCTGTTAAGTAAATCATGTGTGCTAAAAACTGAGAAAAACATTACATCTGAACATGTCAAAAATATCTAGCAGTTTTTATTTCATATCAATAAGTAATGCACCCTATTTCAAGAGACATCAATTTGAAATATGTCAAATAATTGTTAATTGTTATTGATAGTTTCTCTTTTGAAAAAATAGAATCAAACACGTTGGTTTTGTTTATTATTTATTTTAAATATAGGTGACAAAAGCTTGATGAAAGAAAGACAATACTCTAGCATTAGTGCCTAAATGTCCTGCAGAAGTTTGTCTAAATTTAATTAAAATAATGTGGTGATAAAAGTTTAAATCTTGCCACACAGTTCAGGAACAATTAGCAGAACAGAAATACCTGATTGTTAGCCAGAAGTTATTTGATTGGAAAAGCGCTAAAATGGACCAAAAGTATCGTTCAGTCTGCAAAAACCTTCCTCTCCTTTGTGTTGACTTTAACTTGAATCTGTTGTACAGTATCTGCAGGCCAGGCAGATCCAGTAAGAGTTGCTCTGCGGTCCCAGCTTCAGCCTGAGGACGGCACCGAGGACTGCGATGAAGCCCAGGAGAAGCTCCACGTGACCAGCAACAACCTGAAGATGCTGCTGAGGGACGTGCATGCAGGATCTGAGCGGCTTAAGACCACGACTAGTAAGTAAAAAGATGGCGGCGGTGCAGGAAACATCTGTAAACCTGTGGACAAGATGGAGGTCACATCCTTAATGCTGAGGAACAAAAATGTTTGTCTCTATGGTTTTTCTTACCAGTCAGAGTGGCAACAAGCAGTGTTCCAATCATCAGCACACCCAGATCTATCATGGAGCAGCCATGATAGAAACAGAACCTTCTGGATGTTAGTGAACCTCTCCACAAATTTCCAGTCCAATTTTAGTCTGAAAATATACAAACATAAAAAGACATTTAGAAAGAGACAGTGACATAGGGTCAAGTGGGGTTGAAAAAGTTTTTAAAATCAACACTTTGCATTTCATTTGGTTTGATGACTCTTTAATAATTTCTATTGCTAATTCTTATAGGCATAAAAACAGAGATACTTCTCGTGAACCTGTGTTTCAATTTCTACCTGACCACACATCATATTTCAACAGCACTAAAGAATTTATCAGGTGGTACCAGGTGTAACTAGGTGAGAACCCACTAGTTATGCTAGTCGATGGTATAAAATGTTAAAAATACCGTTTACTTTATTTATTTGAAAATTCAGAGGCGAAAAACTTCAGTGTAGGGACATCAACTTGTGTAGTATGCTTCTTCGCGGGCTGTGCCGTGGATGTGGTAATGCTGCCATCTGCTGATGACAAATTATACTTCAGGCTGTAAAATAGCCATTCATAGACTTTTTTTTTTGCCTTCAGTAACAATTCTGACATAAAAATCCCATCCATCCACCCCAGCCAACCCCCCACACCTTCCTGCGGGTGGTGAGTCCACGGGAAGGTACGACCCCCCCTAACCGGGATTCGAACTTGCCCAGGAGGTGAACCCTGGGGTTCCACACCAATGACAGAGACATTGCCTCTGGGCCAAAGCGCCACGACATAAACAAAATACAAAATACACAAAATAAAATAAAATAAACCAAAACAAAACAAAACAAAACAAAACAAAACAAAACAAAACAAAACAAAACAAAACAAAACAAAACAAAACAAAACAAAACAAAACAAAACAAAACAAAACAAAACAAAACAAAACAATTGTCACATTGTCTCACATTGTCACCTTTGAAGGCCTTCCTGTTACACCAAGCTCCTGCTAATAGCGTTCAGCTAGCACACAGCTCCTATAATGCCGCCACTGGCTCTGACTCTAACACAGATGACAAAGGCAGCAACCTCTTAGTGCATCGTCACACCTTACATTTACACATGCAACATTAACTTTTGTTTTTTTAATCATTTAAAAGTTCAGACTTTGAAAAGATGCAAACTTTTTGCTATTCATTTTGAACAAGTCTCTAATTATTTTATTCTGGAAACCGCTCTAACATTGCATTTGCATTGCAAGTATTAGGATTGTTTCCTAGAATGTTTACATCATTATTTGTAACCTTTGAATAATAATAATAAAAAGTTAATGCAAAGATTATAATTTTTAATCATTTTAATTGTATTAGAGCTTTATAAGCTTCAATGCTTTTTCTGCTTTTCTTTATATTTAACTATTTTTTTTAAATTTTGTATATGCCCAACAATTACTCTAGGTATTTTACTAAATATGGAGTTATTTTGCTTGAAAGTGCTGCAGTGTTTATACAACACCCGAACCTGCATTAAAAAGTAATCATGTGTTGAACACCCTAAGGTTTCCGGTTAGTAAACGTAGTTTATTTTTAATTTATTATTCATCAACGGAAATGCATTCATTTCATTTACATATTTGATCTTTGTTGCACGTTTGCGCTGGTGTTTCTGTACTCCACTGTTTCCCTGTTTGTACCTTGCTGCGCCCGCAGCCTGTTTCAGAGCAGGAACAGTAATTGACAAGCTGCCTCCTTCAAGCTGGAGGGAGAATGCAGCTGCTTTTAAACGAAGCTCTGCAACAATCCAGCATCTGAGCTCTCATCTGATGTCTTGCAGAGCACACTTAAGAACGGGTTTGGCTTGTTTAATAGCGGGACTGAAGAATTAAAGAAAAGAAAAGAAGGTTGAAAAAGAATATTTGGATATTTCCCCCCCCACTTTCTTTGATTTCTGCGGTTGAAATGTTGAGTGTTTTTTTGTTCGTATCTGTCCTTGCAGTCGTCTTTCTACTTTCACAAAGAACACAAATTAATGGGGGGAAAAAGTCATACTGATCTGAAAAACAGATGTCTAAAAAGGGTCTTTTTAAAGTTGCCCATGGGGGAATTCACATTGCTGGAAGTGGGCTGTGGAAGATAGAAGACAATACTATAGAGGTTTAATTATCCAGCCATCAGAAATGAAAAGAGGGGAAGGGAGAACTGAGACTAATAATGGAATCACAGACTCATGTTCCGAGTTTCTCGGCTTCTTTCTTTTACGTTCCCCTTTCTATCATCTGAAGAATTCATTCTCCAAAATGCAGTACTTACCCTTCAATCAGCTCCCCGTCACCAAGTCCAAAGGGTTCAGTGATGAAGAGGGAGACAAAACTCGGATCTCACTATTTTGTCCTTTTCATGTGGGAAATGATTGAAGAAAGACAGAAAGAAAGAAAAAAAAAACTCCATAAAAACAACTTGAGGTGGAGAAGAAACAGGGGACACTGGGTATTTTATCTTTGATGCGCAGTGTTATATTATGGGACGACTTTATAATATTTAAATCACAAAAGTTGTTCTGAACATTAGCAGCGATGCATAGTTCTTTGCTGTAGTTTTCTTCTCCGTTGCTATCAGGAAAGAGTTATTTTCTTTGGAAAAAGAGAAGATTCTACTTCTAGTTTGTTAAAGCACACAAGCAAATACTCACATACATACATGCATCACACGCAGGACAAATAAATATACTGTAACATAAGTCATAATTCAGATTTGTTATAGTTTTCCGGTCATGATGATCCACTCTGTCTATTAAGGTGGTAGATATTTTGAATATTAGTTTTTTTATTTTATTAACAATCTACATATTTTTTCAGTATTTGCCCTCCAATAGAAATACATGATACATTATGATTTATATCTGGACAAAAATATAGATTTTTTTTATAGTTTATGAAAATAAAAACAGTGTTTATTTTGTGTATTTACTGTGCCACTGTATTGAATTAAACCTGCTTTGAATTTGCCTGGCTTTGGTTTTATGTAACAATTGCATTTCCATTTTATTTTTTGCTCTATTTTCTAAACGACCTGACCTCAGGCTGCAGCTGATCAACTGGTCTCTGCTGCAAGTCTTCCTGTCTGACGTCCAAAAAGAGGCAAGACGTGAGATGAAGGCCAGCGATGAGACTGGAGCAGCAGAGCTGACCATCTTTAAATTGGACATTACTGAGGGCCACAACGTATATTTCTTGTTTGTCTTGATCCTAAGAGATTTTCAAATACACTCCCCACTGGGCGTCAGTTTTTTGAATCAATAATTAATGGTCAGAGTTACTTATTCATGGGTATCTTTACCAATTATGCAGTGTCTAATTAACAATTTCAATAATTGATATTTATTTCTGAAAGGGTTGAATATCTTGGCCTGATGAAAAATGCATGAGCAGAGATGCCGACCGGCTTTTGCTTCTTGTTCTGAGAGAGCCCAATGCTCGGGGCTAATACCAGACCACTTTGACTCCTACTCTTTGAGTTGGCACGGGCCTTGTGATGTGGATCTAACGTGGGCATCTTTCATGCACCCAAAGCGCTTACTGTGTACCATGTGATCTCATAAAGACTCCGACATGCCCCTCCTCAGATGTACCCTTTATTATTCTTTACTTTTGAACTTTTGTTTTTTTTTAAGTATTTGTTTTTGTCTGTGGATACTTTCACTACTTTCACCATGGCAGATGGTAAAAATTATATATTTACTCATATAAATGTACTTTATATATACATTATATGTTTGGGTACTGATTTAGTGCATGTAGCTTGATGGTACAGTATGATATGTCATACTGTACCATCAAGCTACATGCATACCATAATATCAGTTAGTGCAGTTTTAGTGCAGTTTTTATAGACACTATAAAATTCTACTATATTAAAATATATAATACATATATATTTTTAAATACATTTTTTTTAATTTATTTAATTTTTTTTTAAATTTTAACCAACACACTAAAATCCAATTGTCAGATTCATGAGAAATCTCTTGACTTGCTTTGTTAATCGACAGTTCAACTTCACAGAGCTTGACTTTAATCCAGTTTTTATTGGTTTTGAAGTTCAGCTCGGTTCTGCTGTGTTCATTCTTAACAACAAAGCATGGAGTGACACACTATTTGGCTGCTCTAGGCGGAAGAGCAGCTCCGCAAACAAAGCAATGAAACGAGAACCGAACAATAGACACAGCAATGTCCTAATTCTTTAAATGAAGTCTGGAAATACCGAAAAAAAAGGGTGACACAATCAGTTGATCTCAGTGATTCGCCTTATAGAGCCGAAGGTAGGGCTGCTGCTGCCCCACTCACTGTGTCTCCTGTACTCCCCGGGACTCAGGAAATACTGGCGTCCCCGGTAATGAGGGTGTTCGTGCAGCATCCAGTAACCCTCCATCACGTTGATGGAGTAGATGTCACGGGTGTGGAAACGATCCTGCAGATCTGGGCAGTCGTCCATCACCTCCATATTTTGGCCTCCAAAATCAGGACGCCTGAAGATCTTCATCCTGTAGTTGCCCTTGTACTGCGGGAGGAAACGATGAGAGGACACAACGATGCTGCCGTTAAAGACAAAATTGCAACCGTCTAACGCAGTGACGTGAACATTTGGTAAAATGTGGCTGTCAGAAGAATCTCTTCCCTCTGTGCTAAAGCTCTTTGGGTCCAAATTTGCCCAAATTTGCAAGAATAAGACTGAGAACTGATCTGCCGCATTGAAAATAAATGTGTTGAAAAATCAAAATAAGGTGGTTCAAACTCACAGGTGGAACCATGCGACAGGAGCGGATGCAGTCGTTGAAGCCCGCCCAGCGTTGGTAGTCGGCATACTCTCCTTTCTGCAGCATGTACTGGTAGCCAGCGTAGTTGGGTTTTTCGTAGGCCACCCAGCAGCCGCCCTCCACTTTTATGGAGTTACAGCGGTTGAAGTGGTTCTGCATCTCGGAACAGTCACCGCTGCACTCATAGTGGCGGCCCTGGAAGTCTCTGCCCTCGTAGAAAACGATCTGGGAGGACAGACAATCAGAGGTCAAAATCCAATGATCCATTTTGATGGAGTTTGTAAAGTTAATGCACACACCTAAAACTTTTGCACAATATTTTACAAACAATATATGGTTTCAAAACCAACCCTGCTTAGTTTAACCACACTTTGCTTAGCTTTACCAGAAAACAAAAGTAAAACAAATTTTTTTAACGTATCATTTACAATTACTAAATTCAGAAAAAATAATTTACTTCTTTTTGAACTATAAAACAGTGTTTATTATTTAAAAAAAAACCCAGAATAAAACGATACATTTTGAGTTGCTTTACTTCATGTTCAATCCTCTTACCTTTCCCATTGTAAGTGTGTTTTGTTCAGACCAGTCCAGACACCCGGTCAGGTCCAGACCTCTTTATAGACCAGCGTGGATCGGCCTTTTAAAAACACAAACTAAAGCTTTGTCGCATCAGCGCGATGCTCTCTGTGGACGGCGGATCACTGCGGGACTGTTGAGCTTGTCAAAGCTTTGTGTGTCCGTGGACAAATACTAAGCTGCAACTACAATAGCTGCAACTCCTGTTTTTGCTTTGACCAAAACGGCGTTGGAGACAAAGGTACGGCAGAGGGTTTTTCTATAGCGATAGCTATAGAATTGCATTTCGCGGCGACACGCTGACAACACCTGACAAAAACACAGACGATTCAAAATGAAGACTTTATTGATGAAATGAAGAGTACACGGAGAAGGTGGAGTTTAGACGGCAGTTCTCATCCTCCTGAATGAGCCCACGATAGGGTTGTGGCAGCCCCAGTCACCGCAGGCCCTGTACTCCCCGGGACGCAGGATGTACTGGCGCCCTCTGTAGTTGGGGTGCTCGTAGAAGATCCAGTATCCTTCCAGGATGTTGCAGGAGTAAATGTCACGGTAATGGAAGCGGTCGTACACGTTGGGACAGTCATCCATGAACTCCATTGACTGTCCAAACATGTCAGGCCTGTTGTAGATCCTCATCCTATAGGAACCTCTATACTGGAGGTGGACGGAACAAGAACGTGGTTATTTTATGTACTATAAGAGTTTCGTCTCGAGTATCTCCTCTAACTTTTAAAACTGAAAAAATAAATTTAAAATTAAATTTAATGAATGAACAGCCATTCCCAAAACCTACTATTAATAAATTTAATTTTAATTTTTTTTTTTTCAGTGAACAGCCATTCCCAAAACCTACTATTAACTAATTATTTTGTTAGTGTTGGAGTCCGAAAGATATTTTATTTTGAAACATTTCCAGACTATCATTCAATGAAGAAAGTGAATGGAAATGAATGGATTCTGTCACAAAGTCAATTATTAATTTTTTCCATGTGGCCCAGCGCTGGTCCACGGACCAGGAGTTAGGGCCCCCCTGCTGTAACCAATCTGACTTGTGAACTCCATGACATGGCTCATGTTTGATGTTCATTTTTGAAGTGCCATCTGTGCAAAGTGACTGTTGTGGTGCGTTTAGGTGTTGGTTTTCTCTGACTTACAGGGGAGAACATCTGGCAGGAGCGGATGCAGTTGTTGAAGCCCATCCAGCTGTGGTAGTCTGGGTACTCGCCAGGGCCCAGGATGTACTGATAGCCCATGTAGTGAGGCTTCTCATAGGTTACCCAGTGACTGCCCATGACACGGATGGAATTACAGCAGTTGAAGTGCCTGAAGGTGTCCATGCAGTCACTGCTGCACTCCCAGGAGCGGCCCTGGAAGTTGCGGCCTTCGTAGAAGATAATCTGCACATAGAGAGACAGGCGGAGAACACATGTGATGAGTGATGGGTTGTGACACAAATAATAACCTCATGGGTCGCCTTTCTCCTAGGAACAGTTACTGCACAGGTTCCTCTGATAGCCTATATACAGGGACACAGTAAAAACTATACCTCACTACTACTATTTCAAAACCAATACTTCATGTTTCCAAAGCAAAAAACACCACTAACACTGCAAAGCAAGGGAGTCCAAGATTTGAATAATAATCCTAAGAATAGTCTCTTCTTTAGCTTTCCTCATTACAACATTCCAAACACACACAGACGCTGCGATAACCTCTGCGTGCTCGTACCTTTCCCATGGTTGCAGAGCCTAGTTGTGTACTGCAGTACTAGTCTCACCTAGCGGCGCTTTTATACCCTGTCAGCGTCGACGAGCCTGCTGACACCAAAGGCACCGCGCCACTCTTTACCTTGTCATATACAAAATACACTTCCTTTGTCCGTCAGCGCGTCCAGAACATACCTGTTGTCTGCCAGTGTTTTACATATAGAACGACACCAGCCCGCTCCCCATTCTAATTTGCACCACGTCAGGTCGTAAGCTCATGACGCAGCCTTTCAAAACATCACACAAAAGCCCCCCAGGGACACGGCCCCAATACAACAAAGCCCTCAAAGGGCAATGCATATGGACGTCGAAGTGACTAAGACAGAAGTACATCACCAGGGTGACTTTAATATTGTTTCCTATTTTGGCTAGATAATGAATATACACACAGTTATTTAGAACTAGCGCTATAACAGAGTAGTCATGTATAAAGTCATGTAATTATTGATCAGTTCATGTTCAAGGAAATTGCTGCTAATGCTGTGGCTAGAGCCAGGCTTTCGTGTTGATGTAATGTACAATGATGTGTTGTGTCTCTCTGCTTCCATAGCCTGCAGTCGTACTGTGATGCCAGATGGGACCACTTTGACTTTGACTTACAGACGTACAAAAACAAAACTGCTTCGCGGATGCTCGTCTGTGCATATATTGTGTGTCTGCGTCTGCTGCACAGAAGGTAAGGTTCAGGGCAAGTGTGCGTTTTAATCTCTGGATGAACTGATAGACAGGCAGCAGGTTCTGTGGGCTGTAAGAATGTAGACCAGAGCTTCAGGGAAAAGGCCAGAAAGAGTTGCTGCCACGTATTGTGTTCCCGGAGCGCAGCTGCTGCCAGAAAGGTCACCGTTATCCTTTTATGGGGATAAAGAGCTGCACATTGTGTTGGTTCGTAGCTTCGAATGTGTTCAAGGCAAATGTTTCCAGAATGTTCCATAGCTATTGTGTCTATGGACAAAACAGGGATTCTGTGGTGGTACACACTGTTTCAGTGTTTGGTCCAATTTACCCGATTAATCACGATTAATTGTTATCATGATTAATCTGGATTAATTGTTATTAAGCCACCGTGATTCTGTGATTAAGCAGAAATATAATTTGACAGAAAAAAAATCTGTTGTTCAAAGTGTGTGATCCACTCCGTCTGACCTTTAACCTCTAGACCTGACAGAAACAGGAAACCAAGGTGACAGTGCAAACTCCAACTCCAGCCAGAAGCACCAAACTGTCTGCGGCAGCAGCAGCAGTTACTGCGACTCATTAGCAAAGACCTCGGCTCCCTCCGTGCCTACACGGCTTCCAGAGGGGAACCTTGTTCCTAAGTTCGCAAGCGATCATTTTTAGCTTTGCTACAAGAAATCTACTCCCCACCCCGGAGGGAAAGCAACATCACAGATGCCACAGCCTGCTTTCTCAGCTCCCCTCGGAGGAGGAAAAAAAGCTACCCGCTGTGGAGCATTCCCCCCTTTATCTTGGAATGACGGAATAAAGGGGAAGAAAGCAGAGAAGAGTGGTGGTCCAAAGATCCTTATTGTGCAACTGTGCAATCATGTGGGAGATGATGACACTGTTAGCCTGCAGAACCATTGGCAGTCGGGGACCTCTGTGAGTGATGTGCGCCCCACGGAGAGATGGGAAACTGTGATGGAGAGCAAAGCCCAGCACTGGTTAACTTCATAGCTCAGCTTTTCAAAAGATCAACCGGTTTATACCTGGCTCCTAATGAGAAATCTGATTTCCAGTTCATTCTGTAGAGCACATTTTAGGCCAAATTAGTCATTTTTTGTGCTGTTTTTTTCCCCTGATCTGTCTAAGTCTAACAGTTTACAACAGCCTGAAAATGTTGTGGGAAGAGATAGGGGAACAGTCATTATAAAAACACTGGTACTGAAGTATAAAAAAGGGCTTATACTTGGTGTGTTGGAGGTGTGCTCCTGAGTACTCGCTCTGAAAATGCGGTGCGTTCTGAAAGTGCTTGCCAAAAAGAGCCTCCCATGGCGGCAGCGGAACGAGGAACAGTGTTTCGCTGAGAGATCATCCTCTCCATCCATTCTGTCAGTAAATCTCCAGGCATTCTGCGTCTCTTGTCACTGCCAGCGCTCAGGCTCTATCGGGATTGCCAGACACAGGAGCAACTCTGAGCCGGTGCCAGGGCCAGGATTTACCAGGACCGTCTGATGTGCTCCATCTCTTTCTGCTGGGATAATTAAAAGAGGAAATGTTATTGGGAGAACAGAGTGGAAAGGAGGAGGAGGAGGGGTCTTCGACCGAGTGAATGCACGCAGCCGTCAATTATGTTCCGTTCCATTTTTTATAGATTTTTTTTATCTCCTCTGACATTTTGTCGTAAATTGCCTAACGCTCGGATTTAGTCGTAAAGTTTGCAGTAAATCTCTATTTTACACGTCATTTAAAAAAAAGAGAAGGTGGGCTAATTAAGATCTACTCGTAGCAATGAAATTAACGGACGTAATTTGTTTCAGGCCTGCAGGTGCAAGCCTGAAAGAATTATACAGGTCTCATTTGTTTGACAGTCCTCATAATAATTATTCACTAGATGTCACTAACACGGCATACGATTAGGAGCAGTTTTTAAACTGTGTTATACATATGACAATACTCATCGGTCGCGACTGTTTTTCTACGTATATTCATGAGGTTGTGGGTTCGACAACATCTTTATTTAGTTTAACTTTACAGTCAAATATTAAGCAATTAATACTTAAATACAAACTGGCCAATGGGGGAATGTCTCGGTTGTAGGGTTGGTAGGGTTTCTGCCATGTAAATAATAGGATTTCAGGTGAGTACTTTATATAGATAATGTGTAAATGTAACTGAGTTGTTATGAGGCAGGCATCATTTCACACAATTAGTGGAGTGTACAGCTCCACCACAGGGTGGAGCCCTTAACGCTCGAACCATTTTGACCTCAGACAAACCACAAACCATGGGTTTTGTGGTTTGACAGCTGACGTGTCTGCTAAGTAACCAATGTTTGGTGGTTTACCGAGCATCGCTGTAGCACCAGAACCCATTCTTAACCTACGCTGATGTGTTTGTACCGACTGTGGCATTTGTGGAGAGTAAACTAGCACTGTTGAAAGGCTCATTAAGCAGCTGTACATATTAATGTGACTCACTGGTGTGGTATAACCCTCTCCACAGCCAATCACAAATACTTAACTAGAGAAGTCAGACATTTTTTTTTCATCCTGTCAGTCCCAGCCATCTGCAGAGAAAACTGGATCTGTTTCCTTCCCTTGGCTAAATTGAGATGCTCCACCATACGGCATGACCAAAACAGTGAAAAGCAGGACGACTCCTGTGTCTCTCCACAGACAGACTTGTGGGAGTGATGGCTTTCAGTTGCTCTCACTCCCCCCCAGCTCCCCCTCTCCCCCACGTCTCTGCACACTGTTTTGACGTGGTGCGTCTCCCATGCCCCAAAGCTTTAAAGGTTTAAAGAGCAACTTTTCACCCTGTAATCCAGGTGCCTTTCAAATGAGTCACGCTGTTTACTGACACATGACAAAAAAGTTCAACCCCCCCGTCTCATCTCTGTGCTTACAAGACTGCAGCTCGCCTCAAAGCCTGGTAGTCATTCCTCCTGAGTGCCCTGAACAAACAGTGACTGGGTGAGAGGCTGCCCCTCTGCCTTTCACCGTGCGCTAAATTTGTAATCAGATGTGACGCTGTTGTTCACTTCTTCAAATTTGTCATCAAAGCAAATGTGTTCTGACAACAGCCGGTGACAAGTGCACCAGAGAGGCACCAAATCAGCGTTTTCACACCGCATATCAATTATTGATCATGTCGCTCCCTCCCCGTCCTGACGCCCCAACCAAGTAGACATCTTGTGATAATGAAATACATCAATTTAAAAAATAAATAATAATCCGGGGTTGGCTCCATTGTTGCGAAGCCTTAAGAGCTTGATTGACTGCCTGCACATTTTCCTGCTTGGCAGTCAGGCAGATCAAAGAAGTGCTCCTCTTATTGCCCAAGGCCACTTGCAATTTATTTAGAGGAGCAGTGCTGTCGTCCCAGCAGGTAGCGTCAGTGGGCAGAGACACTCTGGATCAGAGCTTCGAGGTGCCTTTCAAATCCCACCTCAGCTTGCTTTATATCAAGGATGTGCACAAAATATATGCATATGGTTGACACAAAGCTTCCTGACGATACTCAATGAAACAAGAACCATTTCCTGACTTTCAGAAAGAGTCGCTTGAAGAAAGGGCTTTGGACCGCAGCACTCGGAAATTTTTTTTTTTTAATGCAGTATTTTTAAATTTATTAAACATCTCTTGTGTTTGTAAATTTGATCACCTTAAAAATATGTATCAAATGTACACTTTCACATACCACACCATAGTGAGATTCAATTGATGAGGCAGATTTTTTTAAATAAATTAACATTTTCTGTTTTGTTTCGAGATTTTTCAATAATTCTATTACAAAATATTTCTTATCATTTATTTTAAGGTAATACATTATGACTACAACTCAGCTATATTAAGTTAAAAAATATTTACATAAATTATGGTCAGATTAATAGGTTTTTAGCATCGCTAATGAAAGCATAACAATAACATTATTATATCTTTTTTGTTAATTTCATAAACACCTTTTACTGCATAGTGTTAAAAAACACATTATACAGTAAAACCTGTAGGCGTAATACTACTAAATGTAATAAAAAGTTAAGCCTTATACTTCTGGAACAACCATAATTAATGTCATTGTTTTTTGTTAATTGAGTACCTTCAGTTAAAGCGGTTCTTCTAACCCTCTGACCAAGTGATACAGCATTAAAACGATGAACGAAACGAAAACTCATGATTCAGTGAGACCGATTCAATGGTAATTATTACTACTGTCAAATTAGCCATCAGTTCTAACTGTTATTACTCAGTGATTTCAGCTGCACTCCGTTTGTCTTTGGTCTAAAGCCAGTCTAAACAGATATTCTCTGCGAGACATTTCCAATCACTAGAGGGCACTAGAAGCCCGAGCAACAGTCGTGCTCATGTCTTTAAACCACGACCAGCCTGTGAGCGCATCGTGTGTGTGTTAACCTGCATGTATAGCATTTGTAAGTCAGTCTATGGACCTGGACTGGGGCACAGATGTGTGTGAGTGTGTGTGTGTGTGTGTCAAAGCTGCTGTCAGCACTCAGACAGAATTCACCAAATAATAAAACCAAAACATGACCTGTGAGGCAGCACACATGCTGTTTGACAACTTTCTTTTATATAAGTCACACAAATAATTATGTCTTCATGTCCCCGCACACACACACACACACACACACACACACACGGGTTAGCTGAAATGACTGTTTTACCAAAACAAACTTGGATGAAACACAGACATGCACATATACAAAACACACACACACTGTGGTCAAACAGAGTCTCAGACAGACAATACACTGTATGCTTTGTAGCAGTTTGAGGCCAGTCTGTGTGTGTGTGTGTGTGTGTGTGTGTGTGTTTGAACTGCAGATGTGAACGATGTGTGCACAAATTGCAGGACTGCAGAGTGGTGGCTGTTCCCCCATACGGTCTGGCACAGCCCCGGCCTTTGTGTTCTCCCCCATTTACACTGTTCATTTAGCCACGCTGTAGAGGAGGTGCTGGTCTGAGTCCGTGTGTTGGGCCGGGTGATCAAGTAAAAGCACGCCGTGTGTCGTTTGCTTGCATGTAGGCAAAGGTTCGCGGGCACTGCGTGTGCAAAAAAGGGAATTCATTCTGTGGGTTTGAAGACGCCACAGAAAGAAACTAAATGATGTCGCCGTTTTTTTTTCTTTCTTTATCTCCATAGAAAAACCAAACATCTTAGATTTATGAATTCCGCAGAAAGGCCTTATCTCTGCAGCACGTACCAGTTCCCCGTTCCTACTGGGAATTAATTGCACCATCATGAAGTGGAAAACGTGAGACGGAATCAAGAACGTCATTAACATTCGTGCGCAGTTGTTTTTTGTTGAAGGATGGGAGAGTGAGATGCCGGGGAAGCTTGACCTGATCTGAGGAGGCCTCAGAGGAGCAGGAGACGCACCGTCGTCCCTGCTCTACAGCGAGAAGCAGGCCTCAGCTGAGTCCCAGAGCCCGACTGGAGGGAGTTTCAAATGAATTAAAAAACAATGACACACCAAGGGAAAATCTAATGCCAATTCTCATTATCAAGCCCTATATTCCTCACTGTTTTGCTTTTAACTTTTGTTGTTTTTTTCCCCCCATCTCTAACTATCTTCCTCTCTCCCTCTCTCTGTTCCCTCTGCACACTGTTGTTTTCTAGTTTGTTTTCCAGCCGAACTCCTCTGGCTGTCGCCGAGCGCTACAGCCACTTTCAAAGGCTTGGCTGTCACACGCTGCCTTTGAGTCCCGTTTGAAATTTTAACGTACATGTTGTCAGGGTGCCGTCAGCAGTGATTGACAGGTCCGTCCCAGAGCAACACCGGGCTTGGCAGGCTGGCTGTCTTTTGTCAGAGGCAGCCGAGGAGAAGCAACAAAGGGAAGGAGCAGAGGAGGAAAAAACACACATAAATAAAACAAAACTGCTCTCACCCATTTCTCAATAAAGACCAAATTAGATTAATCTTACGGCGGAGCGCGGCAGGCAGCAGTGGAAAAAGACTTGATATTTTCTCTGGCTTTGTTCCCCGCCATTGATGGTACACTGCTCAGACACCCTCTCAACAGGACACCAAAGGCAGCACAGCCAGAGTTTAAAAAAGAGCCAGCTGTACATATTAATGTTCATTATCACCTCCCTTCAACGGAGGGAAATTACACAGTTCAGGTTGTGTCCTGGTCTCACCTTGTGTTTAAAAATGGAGATGAAAACAAAACAAAAAAACAATGGCGGCCATAACCCTGGCTGCAGGAAACTGACGCTTGACACCGGGTTTTACAAAATAAATGTCATTTTAAGTTGGAAAGGCAGTGAAGGTTCAGAACTATGTTGAGATACAGTGTGTGTATGTGTGTACGTATGTATGTACATACATATATACATATATGTATAAACATATATGTAGATACACATACAGTATGTATATATGTACATACAAATATATGTATACACACATACATACACATGTAAATACAAACAGGTATAGGCATACATATATACATACACATACATATATACATATATGTATAAATATATATATATTGTTCCAATGACTTT